ACTACTAGATTTTACTACTACATTTTTCACTACTAGATTTTACTACTACATTTTTCACTACTAGATTTTACTACTACATTTTTCACTACTAGATTTTACTACTACATTTTTCACTACTAGATTTTACTACTACATTTTTCACTACTAGATTTTACTACTACATTTTTCACTACTAGATTTTACTACTACATTTTTCACTACTAGATTTTACTACTACATTTTTCACTACTAGATTTTACTACTACATTTTTCACTACTAGATTTTACTACTACATTTTTCACTACTAGATTTTACTACTACATTTTTCACTACTAGATTTTACTACTACATTTTTCACTACTAGATTTTACTACTACATTTTTCACTACTAGATTTTACTACTACATTTTTCACTACTAGATTTTACTACTACATTTTTCACTACTAGATTTTACTACTACATTTTTCACTACTAGATTTTACTACTACATTTTTCACTACTAGATTTTACTACTACATTTTTCACTACTAGATTTTACTACTACATTTTTCACTACTAGATTTTACTACTACATTTTTCACTACTAGATTTTACTACTACATTTTTCACTACTAGATTTTACTACTACATTTTTCACTACTAGATTTTACTACTACATTTTTCACTACTAGATTTTACTACTACATTTTTCACTACTAGATTTTACTACTACATTTTTCACTACTAGATTTTACTACTACATTTTTCACTACTAGATTTTACTACTACATTTTTCACTACTAGATTTTACTACTACATTTTTCACTACTAGATTTTACTACTACATTTTTCACTACTAGATTTTACTACTACATTTTTCACTACTAGATTTTACTACTACATTTTTCACTACTAGATTTTACTACTACATTTTTCACTACTAGATTTTACTACTACATTTTTCACTACTAGATTTTACTACTACATTTTTCACTACTAGATTTTACTACTACATTTTTCACTACTAGATTTTACTACTACATTTTTCACTACTAGATTTTACTACTACATTTTTCACTACTAGATTTTACTACTACATTTTTCACTACTAGATTTTACTACTACATTTTTCACTACTAGATTTTACTACTACATTTTTCACTACTAGATTTTACTACTACATTTTTCACTACTAGATTTTACTACTACATTTTTCACTACTAGATTTTACTACTACATTTTTCACTACTAGATTTTACTACTACATTTTTCACTACTAGATTTTACTACTACATTTTTCACTACTAGATTTTACTACTACATTTTTCACTACTAGATTTTACTACTACATTTTTCACTACTAGATTTTACTACTACATTTTTCACTACTAGATTTTACTACTACATTTTTCACTACTAGATTTTACTACTACATTTTTCACTACTAGATTTTACTACTACATTTTTCACNCTGACAATTCTAAAAAATGCAAAATAATGCAAAAACAATACCTGACGATTCTTAAAATTGCAAAACAATGCAAAAACAATACCTGATCAATATTAAGAATGCAAAACAATGCAAAAACAATACCTGACAATACTAAAAAATGCAAAATAATGCAAACACAATACCTGACGATTCTTAAAATTGCAGAATAATGCAAAAACAATACCTGATCAATATTAAGAATGCAAAACAATGCAAAAACAATACCTGACAATTCTAAAAAATGCAAAATAATGCAAAAACAATACCTGATCAATATTAAAAATGCAAAACAAAGCAAAAACAATACCTGACAATTCTATAAATTGCAAAATAATGCAAAAACAATACCTGACAATTCTAAAAAATGCAAAATAATACAAAGTAATACTTGGCAATTTTAAAAAATTGCAAATTGAAAATAAAAACAATACCTGATGATTATAAAAAATGCAAAACAATGCAAAAACAATACGTAACAATTCTAAAAAATGCAAAATAATGCAAAAACAATACCTGACAATTCTAAATAATGCAAATTAATGCAAAAACAATACCTGACGATTCTAAAAAATGCAAAATAATACAAAGCAATACCTGACGATTCTAAATAATGCAAATTAATGCAAAAACAATACCTGATGATTTTAAAAAATGCAAAATAATACAAAGCAATACCTGACAATTTTAAAAAATGCAAATTGAAAATAAAAACAATACCTGATGATTATAAAAAATGCAAAATAATGCAAAAACAATACCTGACAATTCTAAAAAATGCAAATTAAAAAGAAAAACAATACTTGACAATTTTAAAAAATAGAAATATTAATCCTGTGTATCTCAATAAAGAAGGATACGACCATTATTCTGAAACATACCACATGATCTTGATTTAGACAAACTCAACATGTATATAAAACCAAATATAGAAAGATAAACAAAATTATTATTATGATTATTATTATCACAGAATAAAAATATCAGAAACAAATTAATAATCGATTCTATCAAGACAGACAATACAAAATTATGTTATCCATCATTTCGTGATGGATCTAATGTAGTTATGTATTGTTTCTCATACGATAGAACTGATTATTAATTTGTATACGTCTTGATGAGACTAAAACTGTTGATAGATAGTGACTAAGTTAGGAATAAAACCGTCCTAAGTCTTAAATATTTACTACTTACGTAACGATTTTCATCATGTTACGCTCTACGTAATTGTTACGCACATAAATTTATAAAATCGAATAGAAAACACTACACAGCATGAAATTTAAGACTTATTTTATTACACTGTCCGAAAGTCTGTATGTATGAGTAACTAGAGGAGGGCCAGGGGGCCCGGGCTCCCTTATATTTGTAAATATTGTTTACTTTTTTCTTCGTAAAGTATAGGAAGAAGATTTAAATATAAAACACGCGTTTTTACACGTGGATACACAGGAGCGTTAGTGGCTACGCGTGAATGTAGGCTGCACGTTCTAATTTGGGCCCCCTAATATCGCTTCTACTAATACAACAGAACTTTCTAGTATTTTATATTTTATTTTTACTCTTTAATAAAATAGTTTAACTGTTTTTTCATATTCACTCCTAATTATCAAGTGATTTTTCCTGAAAACACTTGAAATTGATACGCACGATGCCTATAATTTCGAGTGCTTTTATAGTGAGCCTTTTATAAGGTGTATTTAATAATGTCTTTTATAAAGTGCTTTTTATAGGATGCCTTTTATAAGATGCTTTTAATAGTGTCTTTTATAAAGTGTTTTTAATAGGGTGCCTTTTATAAGATGCCTTTAATAGTGTCTTTTATAAAGTGTCTTTTATAGGGTGCCTTTTATAGGGTGCCTTTTATAAGATGCCTTTTATAAGATGCCTTTAATAGTGTTTTTTATAAAGTGTCTTTTATAGGGTGCCTTTTATAAGATGTTTTTAATAGTGTCTTTTATAGGGTGCCTTTTATAAGATGCCTTTTATAGTGTCTTTTATAAAATGCCTTTTATAAAAGGCATCATATAAAAGGCAGCGTGCGTATCAAATTCGAAGCAACAAGTTATATCCAGAACAGATTAAAATCTGTTCTGGATATTTAAAATTAAAATTCTAGACATATTAACGACGAAACAACAAAGAAATACAGATTAAAATTTATTAAAAGTTCAAAAAATAAAAAAAATATATATACATTTGAAACAATTTCAAACGGGTTCTATTGTGTTTTCCGCCAGTTGATTGATGTTTTCCTATTGAGATTTTTCTTTGTATTTTATTTTTTTCGATTTTTTTTCCAAATGATCGAACGAATGAAAGATATTCTTTCTGTTTCAGATTCGAAAATGGTAAGAGGAAAATGAAATTATGACTCCAGAACAGGGTTTAAAATTCAAAAATAATAGTAGATATTGTTAACGTTTAAATAAATCTTTTATATGTATATATATATTTTTTTTTTCACTGGTTGCTTTGTATATTTGTTGCTATAAACATCACGATTTAGCCTCAATTCAAGCAAACAAATCGGGATTTTTCTCGTCTCATAAATTTCTATAAACACAGAAATACTCTACAACACTTTAAAGCATTAACAATTAAAAAAACTAAACACCGGTTTTATAAATACCAAAAAGAAAGAAAATTAGCTCACACTTTAGGCCCTAACAATAAACACAACTCACGTTTTCTTGGGTAAATCCACTCAAAATCTGGTAGAAAATGGGCAAATCTACCAAATGAATTCCTATAAACACAGAAACACATCACAAAACTTCAATTAAACACTTAGTTTTACAAATACAACCAAAATTAGCTGACACTATAGGTTTTTTCCACGCCCACGTTGCACAAATTGGCGCAAAGTTAAAATGAAAGAGGAGGGCATCCGAAGAGGTAAAATTATTACTCACGGAATTACTTTGTTAAAAAATTAAATATTCAAAAATAAATACATTATAAACGACGGAGGATAGATATATTTAATGTTGAAACTCGGTGAAACAACACAACATAATCAATGATGCATCAAAATGGAAATTAATGCACGTTCCTCCAAGGAAATCCCAAAAGCGTTGGCATTAGTAAACTTTACAGAATCACAAATGAATCGAAACTTACTAATAAACAATTTGAAAACGCCAACGGTTTCAATCGTATTAAGTAAAATTATGAATACTTTATCTTAGTAGGCTCATCAGTAGCAATTCTATTAATCGTGCATAGGAACTAGTTAAGTGCAATCTTTACCGACGACACGTCGATTAAGGTTGGCAATTCCTCCCCTCCCTCCTCTTCACCACTCTAATTTTCCAACGTTATCAGACTTTAAGACGTAAGAATCTCCTTAATGAGATAGAACCCTTATAAATATTCATGATAGCAATTTTATAGTCAGCCAGATTACAACAAATGCTTTGCCACTCGTCAATAGAATCAAATGGAAAAGCACAATACTGTTTATTCTTTCTCTTAACTGACGTTTTCCAGCTCGAACCTCCGTTCCACTAACTCTATTGTTATCGAGGAACTTCCATTTAATTTACCTTCGTCGTCGGCAGCAATCGTTTTCTTGGCTCGCTTCCCCCCCGACAGCACAGAGGCAGCATTTCCCCCTCCTCCTCCTCCTCCTCCATACCTTCCTCCTGTAGGAAAATAATTACTTTCTCGCATTCTGTAAATCTCTGTAATTCACCAAACTGTACTACATTTTAACTCGGGCAGAGGGGGGAAAAGTACGTAATAATTCCCTTTAATTTAAGTGTCATTAAAATTGGTTTTGGGAAAGCATGTTAATTGGCAAATCTATCTTTGTCTTCGGCCTACCTTGTCTCTAGATAATATCTCAATTATTCTTGTAGTAGTAAGTACTGAATACTAAAAATTTCCTTGGCTTGCCGGCTATCTTTTGCTGAAAAATTGATTTCGGTCTTTCTCCTCCTAATCCCTTCTCCTTATTTTGTTTATAATTCTCCCTCCCCCCACCACCACCATTTTTTCCCCTTCCTTTACCTTCTTCATCTCCTCTCCGTGCGGGCATTTTATTTATTATAAATTTGTCTTTTCGTGCTTAATGCTATTAGAAAAAAAAAAAGATAATTTTAACGTCGTTAACGGGTAAAAAATGTGTTTGTTTTTTTCTTTACCCGTTAACGAGACAGAACCGAACCCACGCCTTTAAATAATATTGTCGATTGCGTATGCTTGTTTTCCTTATCTTTTGGTCTTTCGGGAGTTTTGATTAATTACAACGCTATTGAAGGGCGTGGGTTCGGTCACTCGGTAGAAATAGGATTATTCGTTTTAATTTTCGTGAAGAAAAGGGGGATTTTCGAGGCATTTATTAATGAAAATAGCGTGAAAAAATGAACAGATAATACACTGATTTTTTTATAAATATAGTAGATTTTTCTCTATCCCACCGGGTAAAACTATTGGTAATTAGTCGCGGGTTCGTGCCTCACCGACAGCTTGCCACGTAGAGTTTTTTTTTTTGTGTTTTCTTCGCGTGCTTAACAATTAAATAAGGGCCAGTTTCCCTTAGGGATAAAACCACTAAACACTTGTAGTTGGTCACGGGTTCGTACCTGACCAACTACGTGGAGTTTCCTGACTTTTTTCACGTATCTAACGTATAAGCTAAACAGAGACAGGTTTTCGGTTGAAAGTCCTTCCGGGAGGAATGTGTTTGTTGTCTTATCTCGTTTATCCTAAGTTTTTTCTTCAATAGTTTTGATTAGAAAATTATTTAAAGGCGTGGGTTCGGTTCCCTGTCAGAAGAAATACATTCAAGTTATCGTCTATTAAGGTATCTTCTTTAGAGTTGGTTAATAAATATGTTTTAATTTATGATCTTACTTGCTTTAATTGTAGATAAAACCGACGAACTCGGGTTCTGTTCTCTCGAACTTATATACGTTATATTCTACACTTTAAATCAGTACATTAAGGTTATTTGGGCGGCCATATTTTTATCCGTACGGATGGTCTAACCCACAGTGTGGTCGGGAACAACCCCCGACTCATACATAAATCATAGAAGCGTATGGGGTTCGAACCAAATCCTACCAAGCACTAAGCTCGTATGTTAGCCTGAAAGTGAAGAAAGTTTTCTTAACTAAATCTTGGTAATTTAGATAATTAAAACTAGAACAAATTACAGAGGGAGTGGGTTCGTTCCATCCAACCACGTGTTGCTTTACACACAAGTAATAAGTTATATTTGGTTTAATTCGTATATGACACGTAGACGATCTGCCTATAAGGAGGTCTTTTATAGGGAACTGACACTTATTTAGGTGTTACTAGCGTGAAGAAAACTCGGAAAATTCCACGTGGCGAGGTGCGAACCCACGACCAACTGTGGTTTTTATCTACTTGGCTATACAATTCTTAATATTTATCTCTATAAGAGAGCATTTAACGCACTTCAAGCGAGTAAAAGCGATTAATACTGCAAAAAAAAAACAATAAAAAATTCGTTAAAGGAGGTTAAAAAAACTATATTTTAGTGCTATTTTCCCCATTGAGATAATGTTCTACTAATAGTTTTATTGGTCATTTTTCCCTGTTAAGTGTTTTTATTCTTTGTTAAAACATTTCTTCCTATTCATCTGTACACGAAAACTAGTGTCTCGATTATAATATAAATGTATTTTTTGACATTTTTCCGATCTATATCTAACTATTTTTGCTTTATTTCCTCTATTAGAAGTATTGTCTCACCATTACTATTTCCTGTATTATTAATAGAAGCCTTGTTAATTTTTCCTTTATGTTAATGAATCTTTCCTTTAACAATGATATCACTTTGTCTTTCTTTAATATTTTCTTATCCTTTTCACCTTTATTAAGGTATTTTTCCTTCTATTTCGTGTCTTTTTTAATTACATTACTTCTTTTAGGCTTAATTTAAACCTTATTGTTTTTATTCTTCAATCACATTCCTTAAATACAGGATGGGTGAAAAGTAACTAGGCATTCAGAAATAAATATAATTTTTATATTTCTAAGACAATTATGATGTAAACTTGTCAAAATGTACTTTGTTAAATGGAAATATGGAAGATTCCTTAAAATTTAACGTAGGCACTGGCACTCTCTATCAATGATACATTCTCACCAGATTGTGACGTGGATGGACGGCCTCTTGTCTATGCATCTGTAACCGAACCCGTGGTCGTTTTAGTTTCAATTGACAATTCTTAATTGTTTTCGGCCGGAATGTGACATGACTTTCCTTCTGTGTACGTCATCATCTTTACACAGCAACCACTGATCTTTACATCTCTTAGCGTGCAGCAATCTAAGCTCGCTCCCGAGCGGATAAGTGGACGACTATCTTTATTTCACTGCGCGTGCAACCTCCTTCGTTAACTATCCCTATCTTTGATATGAGAATTATAAAATCCCGTTGATTAATGTACATGAAATCATAAACTTTATAATCATTTCGTTATGATTACAAAATCTATAGTAAGTTTATAATGCCTAGTTACTTACCACCCAGGCTGTACAACCTTAAAACGGTTACAGTTTTAAAAACTCTTTTAATTAACATTAAATCCTAACAATTTAATTATGTAAGACTAAACTGAGTCCAAACTAAATTAATTTAAGTTAGAACCTAATTAAATTGAAACCTGTCTCCTTACAGTGCTAAATTAACACTAAAACTCTTTCAATTATGCTAAAACTAAGCACTATTTAAACTAAGTATAGACATTAGTCACAACCGGTACTTAACTAGTTTATGCAAAGCTTAGCCGGTTTAATTAATAGATTTTCGTATTAATTTAGTTTAGTTTAGATTTAAATCAGTTTAAGTTAATTTAATTTGAAATTAATGTTAGACAGGATTGTGTCTAAACTACAGTTAACCAGGTGTAGATTTGAAGGTAGTTTTAAGCTATGAATAAATATAAAAACAAGGCTCAAATTATTTAAAAAGAGAAGAAAGGTTTGCAAATTCCGAAGCTCTAATTAGAAGAAAAGTGAGAATTTATGCAAGTTTTAAGGCTAGAAATTAAAATCCTTCAAGGCTCAGAAAGGAAGAGGAAGAGAAAAGAGGGAATGATTCAGGCCCAAAAAAACAAGAGGTAAAGTTAGAAAAATTAGTAATTTCTAAGCCTGAAAAAATGGAAGAGAAGGAAGAAAGATTCAGGCTGGAAAACAAGTAGCCGAAACTAGAATAAAAATTAGGAATAAGTTCAAAATTCAAGTCGATTCCTCCGACTATCGAATGGTAAGAACAAAAATGTATACAGCATTAAAATACTATTATATTTATATATATAGAAAAGGGAGAGAGAGAGAGAGGAGCATACATAATACATGTAGACCTACAGTAAACAAACACCGTATATACATAACAACAAAAGAAGAGCTCATCACTTTAAAGAAACATTTTTCTATTCGCTTTATATTTGTTTTTAATTTTAGTAAAAAGAAAAATATTGATCCGCTTTACTTCATTTAATTTACAAAATGTATATATTTTGAATCAATAATGTAGGTTATATTAAATGATGCATTAGAATCCATCAAATTGCACAAAGAAAGCTTAAACAAGTCAGTTTGTCATTTTCGTCGTCTCTCTCTCTCTCTTTCTCCCTCTCTTCCTCCCCTCTCCACGTCGTCCACCCTCCTCCTCCTCCTCTTCTTCTTTCTCTCAGTAGTAGAGAGCATCGAAAATGCAAATTTGATTTCATTTAAATACATTTTAAATCCAGATTGAAATGATGACAGTTGAGAATTTGAAGTAAAATGCCGCTGTCAATATTCTAGAAGGCATTTTCTAGTGAAAAGTTAAAGAACTTTATTGATAAATGGACGATTCTTTGCAAAAACATATTTCAACCTTCAATTGTACAAAGACAGAAATATATTCTTCTCTTATAATAACATTACTGACATCTTTAATTCATCAAAAAATAATTGGGTGTTACCGTCCTCTTCCACCCCCGTTTCCAGATTCTTCTTCTACTTCCTCCTCCTCCTCTTCCTTCCCTCCTCCTCTCCTCCTCCTCTACATGGATAAACTGTTAATCAACTAAAGCCTTTAGAGGTGTTAGAAGGGAGCAAATGCTTTAACAGTTTTTAAAAGTGTCAAAAAGTGTTTAATGGTGTTAAAGAACATAATGTTTAGCGTTGTCGGGAGAACGGGAGACGATAGGAACAAGAAATTAAAGTGTTAAACGCGGAAAGAAGTTTGTATAGAATTAGGAATTACAGAAGGGATTGGATGCTTTAAATCTTCTAAGAAGGACGACTTAAAAATCGCTTAATTTACATAAGAAGTCGAACCGTCAATAGCGGACACCACCTGTAAACTGCGGCCGTTTTTTCTATGTTTTATCAGTGTCCGTTATTCACAGGTTAGACTTGTATTTAAAGCTTTTAGTGATTAGGAGTTGCAACGGTTAGGAGTGTAGTTTTTTTACATACTTACCGCATATTTTTCAAGAGTTTCAGAATAAAAAATACATATATTTAACAATAAAATAAGAGAAAACGAGAATTATTATATTTTAATGCAATAATTTTATTGCGTAAACGTTAACGATTAACTCGTCTTCTCGACTCTTATCTCGCTCCTTCTTCTCACTCATTTCGACTCAGTTTTCTTCCAGCTGCACGAAAATATGGTGGATATTATCCATTTTAAAATCTTC